GAGAGAGATGATGATTCTGAGGCCACCCATCCCAGCCATATTATTCACATATCGAGTCCCAACAGCAACAGTGTAGGGATGAGCACGAAATACTGTAAATTAAATGCTGAATGGCGGTTCATGCGGGGAAAGAACGTATCAATATTCGCATATTCATTCAAAAACATGAAAATTCTTAATGGAGTACCCTCATTTTTTATTGAATTCCTAAAAAACAATATTTATAATGAATTTTAATAATTTTTTCGAATTTTTTTTAAGCTTTATTCTGACATATTCACCCGATTCCCGATCCGAATCGCCGATTCGCCGATCCGGATTGGTTTTTTGGAAGCCCAATCCGGATCACCGATCCGCTTTTTAAACCATTGCCTTAAAGCATTATTCTCAACTCCGATTCATTTGCCATTTCGCAGCAGGTCTAGAATAGTTAAACATAATAATTCCTAACCAGTCATGAACGAGACTTGGGCCTGGATTATCCAAGGAATTTCTGTCAAAATTCAATTTGATCCATCTCACAGGTGCTTTCCATATCTCAACTCTAATCTCTTTGAAACTTCTTTCCCTCAGTAATGTATTCGAATTATACATCAAATCTACATAAAGCACACCCCACCAATCTTTGTTAATGGCTAACCAGTATGCTACTGATTTTTCCTCATTTTCAGACAGCCCATTAATCTTCCATCCCTTTTTCTGTATTCCCCGTAAATATTTGCCCTCTCCCTTTTCTCTCTCCACCCTATGAGATGGGGATGGGAAGGTATGACAAGAGTATAAGAGGGGAAAAGGTTAAGGATTTGGAGTATAAGGAGATGGGTGAAAAATAAAGAAAAGGCCATTTAGAGAAAGGCATGGTTTCTATGAGGTTAGTCATAGAAATATGGGCTTGATAATAAATATATTTTTTAAATAGAATTTGATTTTAATTTTTAAAAAATATATAATCTTTAATATAGAGATCACGAATATGGAAATAATAATTATTATTATTATTTTATTATAAAAACATTTGAACCGTTAATTTCACATGTTTTTAAATAGACCACCTATTTCCGTCTGTTTTTAAGATGGATGCTTTATGCCTCAACCAAAGAAAGACGCTTTATGCCTCAACCACATACCGTAAAAATGCCATCCATCAGGACGAAACAATTTTCTTTTAGAGAGAAACTTTCAAAAAATGAATTAAGGAGTTCTTTGACTTTTTTTTATTATTATTTAAAATGTAGGGGGGTCTATTCA